TTACCCAAATAGAGATTAGAGAGAGATAGAAATACAACTTGGCGAGCGAACAAAACTCGCAGAAAACAATATTACATATCATCTGTATATTTCATTGCTGCCGAGATTTTTTCCTTGCCAGGATTAAACGCTAGGGAAAGTAAACGAGGCGACGTAAAGCGAATTACTAGTTCAAGGCTGAAAATAGCATTTAACTTCAAAAACAAAAATAACTGAACAACAAGAAAACTTTTGAGTTTATTAATATGTTTTAAAAAAGCACCTCATTAAGTTTTGAAGCTTACAGAAATAAGAAAGTCTTGGAATATGTTTTTTTGGTTAAGTGCAGCGTCTACCAAAAAAAAAAAAACAAACAAACAAATAGTAGAGAAACAAACCAGCTCAATTAACTGAAGGTTGGAAAAACTAGCGCTGGCCTGTCTGTACAGTTTTGTAAATTTTCATTCTTTGCGTTGCTGACTGACAAAGCTTTGTATCAGGCAAAGCCCATACAATGCCAGTTAGATGGGCACAAACTACAGCCGGGAAACGAAACAGCTCAAAACACACTTATAAACGTTCACAGCTTACCACTTGTTACTGATCGTTTAAGACTTACCGCTACAATAAATTTCTACAGATCGAATGATTTACGTGTAAAAAGTTTGTACGCACAATGTTAAAGCTTAGTGCGCAGGTTGTCATCTTGGCTTGACATGATGTGCTACAGACTTGTGGAAATATCAATATGATATTTATACACAAAAACGTGTTCTCGCGAATAACCCAACAAGTAATTTGTAATTTGCTTTTCTTTTATTTTCATCAGCACACTTTTCGTTATAACTCCGAATACTGGAAAGACACAAATGAATACAATCTTCCTGGAGGATTGACTGGATTTGACTCAAAAGAGACCAAGTTACCGACCTACTGGAACACGTCCTTCTCCAAGATTTGTCTCGGAATGAAGATCGGAAATCAGATCAAGTTTATTGTCGTCAACAAGCAGGCCAACTCTCTGTACTCACTGATCGCTGATGGGGAATACCGGGCCACCACACTGGGTCGTAACGCGTGGGAGTCACTAATTGGTTCCCAGGCCTCCCTACAGAGCAACTGCAACAAGGAAGGGTTCAATTCCGGGTGTACTAGAACAGTATTATCTACAGCTAGAATTGGTATCTTTGGTAACAACGAAGGCGATTGCAACTCCTGTGACTCGAGAATTGCGTTTGGTTCAGGCTTAGCCAACCCGTGTGGAAACTGGAATAAGGATAGATCGCACAACATCAAAGCCATGGGATACATCTTGGTGCAATAGGAAGGAACCTAAAGGAATAAAGCAATAATGATCCAAACATACTCATGTTGAGGTTTCATCTTGGCGTAGTAGAGAGGAATGGTTTACAAGGCAACAATTGGCGCTTATTATAAACTAACTACAGAGGCAAGGCCCTGCATTGAGATTATGGAGCATTTACATTGATCCTAATCGTGCATCATAATTCAATGATTTTTTCAATGGGGTTCTGGAACCTAGACAGAAAACATCTACATTAGAAATTTAACTCGTTTCAAACGGAAACTGTCTGTAAAGTGATACAATGGAATAGCTTTCCTATTAAAGTAAAAGCTTTTCACTGCTGACATTGGCATTCAATGCTGGCTGCAACTCCTGAATAAACAAGGTCTCCTTAACCTTACAGTAGTAGTCAGTCTTGCCGGACGCCTGTTTTACCGTGTCCCAATTTACCACAGTTTTCAACCTAGAAACTATATCCGGCCTCCTAATCTGGTAAATTATTTTTATTTCCATTCCTCTAAAAAGCTATAGCTTGAGACTGTGTTTTATGAGCCACTTCTGTAATGAGCTATGCCACTGCATGG